AAAATGACATTTAAAAGCTTAACTAGGTTAATTAGGTGAACTAGGCAGGTTAAAAATTAGCTTAAAGGGGCTAATAATTTTGTCCCAAAAATAGTCATAAAAAAATTCTAAACTGCTTTTATTCTAGCCGTAATTAATCAAATAAGACTTTTTCTAGAAGAAAAAATATTATCAGACATACTGTGAAAATGTCCTTGCTCTGTCAAACATCATTTGGGAAATATTTAACAAAGAAAAAAAATCAAAAGGGGGCTAATAATTCTGACTTCAACTGTATATATATATGCAATTCCAGCGTTATGGATGTGACATTTGCAGTAAAAACTCAGAACATGATTTTTTATAGAACTTATATGATAAGATAACTTTTGTTCATATTTTTCAGAACAACTGACCACAAAGTTATGGGACCAGAAAAATATCAATCTGTAAACATGTTTTGTACTGTAAATGAGGAAAATAAACGTGTTACGGATGTGACCAAAAAGTCTGCGGGTTTACAGTAGACAACAATCTTTGTAGAAATTCTGTGAATTGAACTGCACAACCCAAAAGAAACAATAAAAATCAAAAGGATAAGAGTCGGCTCACTATAGAACAAAAATGATTGGTTTTATCTTATTTATTATTTTCACTTTTATGAGGAAAAAGTTTCGTTATGGATGTGACATCTCTCCGTTATGGATGTGATGTGACAGTTGTGAAATTGCCACTTTTGTGATTTTGGTAAATCAAATATAGTAGTTTGAAAACATGATGGATGCAGTTTTGAGTATTTCTAAAGTACTGTAAAATACTTGCTTACCCAAAAAACCCAGCAATGGCTTCCGTATATTGGTGAAAACATTTTTTTTTTTGTGGCAAGGTTGACATTTGCATGGAATTGCTCATAGTTTAAGTCAGAATTATTAGCCCCTTTTGATTTTTTTTCTTCTTTTTTTAAATATTTCCCAAATTATGTTTAACAGAGCAAGGAAATGTTCACAGTATGTCTGATAATAGTTTTTCTTCTGGAGAAAGTCCTATTTGTTTTATTTCGACTAGAATAAAAGCAGCTTTCAATTTTTTTAAAAACATTTTAAGGTCAAAACTATCAGCCCATTTAAGCTAATTTTTTTTTCAATAGTCTACAGAACAAACCATCATTAACTTGCCTAATTACCCTAACCTGCATAGTTAACCTAAATAACCTAGTTAAGCCTTTAAATGTCACTTTAAGCTGAAAAGAAGTGTCTTAAAAATATCTAGTCAAATGTTTACTGTAATTATGGCAAAGATAAAATAAATCAGTTATTCGAAATGAGTTATTAAAACTTCTATGCTTAGAAATGTGTTGAAAAAAAATCTCCATTAAACAGAAATTGGGAAAAAAAATAAACAGGGGGGCTAATAATTCTGACTTCTGACTATATATATATATATATATATATATATATATATATATATATATATATATATATATATATATATATATATATATATATATATATACAACTAAACAAAAAAAAGACTTTCTCCAGAACAAAAGCAACAGTTTAAATGTATGGGCTAAAACACATGTCTCTCTTTATCCAGGATGCAGATAATAATGAGCAAGCACACACCAGTGGTCTAAATAAGGGTGTTTTCTCAAAAGGTGAGACGTAAAAAACCCATCCAGATAAATGAAAAGTGTATGATCAGATGTGTGTATAAAGTCAATATATGTATCTCTGTGTGTATTTCCAGATGCCAAAAATGAGCACATTAAACACAGAAAGGCTGAAGATTCTGAAGATAATGATGCCAAAAAGGATAAAAAATCATCCACGTGCACTGTGTTATAACACATCATACACATCACACATCTTACACATGCATAATTACAGTACCTCTCTTTGCCAGTCAGATACAATTGAAAATGCCATATCTTGTATTAGCAGTATTATTTGTTTATTTTAGATTCTGAACATGCTTTTAGAAATGTTCTCCTTTTATATAATAATAAGAGGTTTTGTGGCAATTTAATATAAAAAAAACTAAAGCTAAGCGGCAACGTCTTTACTCATAAGGCCAGGTTTTATCATTGTTTTGAATGGAAAACGTGAATCTATATTTTGCCCAATTCAATACAGCAAAAAAAATAAATAAATAAAAAATGGAGACAATATTTGAGTGATACATTTAAAACAGCATCTACAGTGCATTACAGCATGGAAATGCCACAGACACACAAAACCACATGGGGTTTACCCATAATGCCTTGTGCATGAGCAAATGGTGCAGCTGAATGTCATAAAAGCAGTCAACAACATAATAAAAGTGTAAAGTAAACACAACACAGCTTCAGTTTACCTGCTCAAACAGACATGACATATAATGTTGCCTTTTGCATGTTGTTTCTTGCTTTTAATTCATTTAAAGTTTTCTCAAGTATACACTGATGAGATAAACCTGATCTGAAGTGAAAAACACATGGTCAGTATAGTTAAAGCTTCTTTAAAATGTGCATTTTTTTCCCAAATTCGACTTACTGTAGTCCCTTTATTAATCTGGGGTTTTCACAGCGGAATGAACCGCCAACTTATCCAGCATATATTTTACGCAGCGGATGCCCTTCCAGCTATCACTGGAAAACGTCCACACACTCATTCACACCCATACACTGACAATTTAGCTTACCCAATTCACCTATAGCGCATGTGTTTGGACTCGTGGGGGAAATCAGAGCACCCGGAGGAAACCCACGCAAGTGAAGGGAGAACATGCAAACTCCACACAGAAACGCCAACTGACCCAGCCAAGGCTCGAACCAGCGACCTTCTTTCTGTGAGGCCACAGCACTACCTATTGCGCCACTTCAAATCATTACAATTAAATCAAATTTAATTTAACATAGGCTGCATAACAACACAGCCAAACAAGAGCGGATTATGATTTACTTAGCTGGGGATAATGTTAGCATTTTAAAAATCTTTGTTTACAGTGAACTCTTAACTCAACTATTTTTCTTACCTCCGTCTAAAATATCTTAATTTGTGTTCCAAAGATGAAAAAAGGTCTGGTTTGGAACGACACAATGGTGAGTAATTATTAACCTAATTAAACATTTTGGGTGAACTAACCCTTTAAATATTACACTGCTCGATTCTGATTGTTCAATCATGACATTCATTGGTGCATAATTAAACCGAAACTAATAACCGGGGCTCATCTGTGCATAGGATACTTACAAATTATTTAGAACTTTTATGAGTATTTTTGATAAACTATACCCTGCTGAAAAATCCAGCTTAAACCAGCCTAGGCTGGTTGGCTGGTTTTAGCTGGTTGACCAGCCTGGTTTTAGAGGGGTTTTGGCCATTTCCAGCCTGGTCTTAGCTGGTCAGGTTGGAGAATGACCAGCTAAATCCAGCTAAAACCAGCCTGGTTTAAGCTGGACATAGCTGGTTTGGGCTGGGCTCCCAGCCTGGCTAGGCTGGTCAAGCTGGTGTTAGCTGGTCATCTCCCAGCCTGACCAGATAAGACCAGGCTGGAAACCAGCCTGAAAATGGCCAAAACCCCTCTAAAACCAGCCTGGTCAACCAGCTTAAACCAGCCAACCAGCCTAGGCTGAGGTACAATATGCTGTTATTCATGCCTCTGTTCTTGACTGTTTGGCGCCATCTTATGACTGAAGGTTGTTGTTGGTTGTGACCAATGACTAGAAAATGGTTGTGACTGAAGGTTGCGTAGTTTGAAAAGTTGCATTCAGCCGTTATTCTTTCTGTAAACTTTTAATGAAATGGTTAGTAAAGTACATCTCAGACCAATGTTTAATGTCTTATTGTTTAGTTTTTGGGCAAGCAGCCGTGTTTTCTCAAAATGAAGCCCTTAAAATCTTACACCACAGCTGCTAATAAACCTGTCAAGCGTTTTTTCCCGTCAGAACCTACCGACTATAGACACATTTGAATGACATATTACTAAAATTTGAATTATTAACCATATTTTTTTCATTGTTAGTTCACGTCAACTGAACTAGCGCTACTAAACTTATTGTGAAGTGTGACAGAAAAATACACCACCTGACTTGTTGTGGATCATTTGGTATTAGAAGTGGCTTATATGAAAAGCAAAGGCCAGATTACGCTTATTTGACCAAAATAAAATGTGATCATGCCTTGATTCTTAATTATTTCATTAGGTCAATAAGGTCTGACTTTGCTTAGACAAAAGTCTTGTTGCTTGACAGAAAAAATGTACAGTATAGAATATAAAGTCATGCTGCAGTGGAAAAGAGTTACTATTGGGTCTGACACCACACATCTCTGCAATGACTCAAATCACTGATTAATAAAGTCATCTGGAATGGTAAAGAAAGCGTTCTTGCAGGACTCCCAAAGTTCATCAAGATTCTTTGGATTCATCTTTAATGCCTCCTCCTAAATTTAACCCCAGACATGTTCAATAATGTTCATGTCTGGTGACTGGACTGGCCAAGCCTGGAGCACCTTGCTTTCAGGAACTTTGATGTGGAGGCTGAAGTATGAGAAGGGCTATCCTGCTGAAGAAGTCGCCCTCTCCTGTGGTTTGTAATGTAATGAGCAGCACAAATGTCTTGATACCTCAGGCTGTTGATGTTGCCATCCACTCTGCAGATCTCTTGCACTCCCCAATACTGAATGTAACACCAAACCATGATTTTTCCTTCACCAAACTTGACTGATTTCTATGAAAATATTGGGTCCATGCAGGTTCCAGTAGGTCTTCTGCAGTATTCGTGATGATTGGGATGCAGCTCAACAGATGATTAATCTGAAAAATCCACCTTCTGACACTTTTCCTAATAATCAACTAGAAGTCAAGTTATTATTTATTTTAATACTGGTATCGACAACAAGACTTCTGTCAGGTACTGTATACTTAGTAGCCTATAAAAATGATCAATTCGTAAAACGTTACTAATTTCCATAATTAAAACTGCTTAATTTTTGTGAAGTATTATTACACATGATTTTAAACACATCTGACAAAAAAGCATTAAAACCACAAATGTTTATTTGCTCTGGGAAATAAATTAGCATACAGAGAAATTTATGTTAACCCCAATCACGCATTTACAATTGTGTCCTTTAGAAAAAGAAGAAAAAAACATCAATGAAATGCAACTAAAATCATTTCTGACAATTACATCTCTGCACAGAAAAGCAGTGCACCCTATATGCCAAACTGGGATGTAATAAAGCATTGGCATTTCCATTCAAATCCCCCCAATATTTAATAAATATCTTTATTTTTATTAGCAGCAGTAGTGTAAACATTCTATTTAGCACATTTTCAAAAGTGATTTATTTTCTCTGCAACACCAAAACTGAAATTACAATTCTGTGCTTTTCACATGACTAAAAATACTGCATTCAAAAGCTTTTTTACCCAATTATTTAACTCTCAACTCTTCACAGAAAAGCAGTGCAGCCCACGCCAAACTGGGATCTACAGCATTTGCAATTAAAATTTTAGTTTTATTTATATTTAATATCTTTCGACTATATCCTCCTAGGGCCTGAGTGTCCACATACATAGACAGCACATTTTTAGCTCTTAAGTGGCTATTTAAAATACTTTGAATGTTTTATATTTTGATTCAGACATAGTGTCATCCTACAAACTGTTTTGCAGCATATGAAATGTCCCAAACCCTATTTTTAACTGTCTAAAATAAGAAACAATTTTGTTTTTATTCTCTGATAGCAAGTTTTAAAAAAAAATCTATGTTAAATATGCATTGAAAAAAAATTCGGGAAAAAGTGTTTTATGCAAATTCGGACCACAAGTTCACATATATAAACTTAATTTTTCTCTAAAAGTACATCATATCAAAAGATGATTTTTAGATATTTTAATTAGGTTCCAATAAGGCCAAATGCTAAGAGAGATAAAAAAAATGCATATAAAAATCACCTTGAGCCTTAAGAGAGTATTTTTTTTTGGTATAAATAGTGTTTAGTCGCTGCTGTCTTCCCCCACCACCATGTGGCTGTACTTCTTCTGCTGTTGCTCTTTAAATGAATCCTTCACCTTTGCCCTCTTCAGACCGCCATCCCTGTAAAACACACAAACACACAAAATAACAAACCTTCCCCTTCAATTGAATTGGACAGCTGAATACAAAATAACTTCACTCACCAGGCCAAATCTACTAAACCTCCTTGTTGAGCAATAGTTGACTTCACCCTGTTGGCAAACTGCACAGCGTCCTCTCCTTCCTGTGCACACAGGAAATGAGTCGGTAAGTGTCATCAGTCATATAAACATTCACAGTGTGGCAGAAATTGATGTTTTTATTAAATCTCTTAGATTAGTCAATAATAAGAAAAGTGAAAGATTTTTAGTTTTTTATGATAAATATTTTGGAAACAGCACGGATACATAAGTCCTCCTTTCCTCTTGCTGTATTTGTGTTATGTATATGTTTATTCTTATTTATTTATTTATTTATTTATTTATTTTCTCTCTTTTGTTTCTCTTTTTATTTAATTTTTAATGTTTATATTATTTATCCTGATCTGTTATTGTCATTGTGTTCTTTTGTGTAAATTGAATTTTGTATGTTTGTTATTGAAGTCAAAAAAAAAAAAAAAAAAAACATTCGCAGTGTGGCACAAAAAAAGTCTGGTGAAGTGTCTGGAAGTGTGCATTTTTATTCCATGTTTGAAGTAATCTGTAGCTCCTCCCAATATATTTTTGTTTTTCTCACAGCTCTGCCAGTGAGAGTGGTTAAAATAAAGAGCATCAAATGAGAAGCATCTTAAAGGGGGCGGGGCATGTCAGATACTAGAGAGCACTTGATTGGTCAGAAGATTTGATGAGAAAATGAAGAATGAGGCGACCTGAATAAAATCCATGTAGGTGGAAGTGACAAACTACAAGCTTTACATGTTTATATCAGTTTTACATCTCCTAAATGCAAATTTCGTCACTTTTTTGGTGCGCACTAGCTTATAGATATCCTAAAAACTAACAATACTGTCACTAATATCTAAAAGACTTCTTCTAAAAGAATTTTAATTTCATAAAACCTTTAAAGTCTGTTTGAAACTGCTCGATCGCTCACCTCGTGTGTCATTGGGGGCAGATACCAGACGTTGCACACAATGGCCCAGCTGGTCATCATCCGCAGTAGATAACTCATAATACTATATTTGCTGCTGTTCCAGAAGGCATCTCCAAACTGAGGATCATACTAAATATAACACAGACACTGCATGAGTATCAGAGGGCCAACACACACACACACACACACACACACACACACACACACACACACACATAGCAGTATCCTAAAGCAAATTTTATTGTATAAAAAGTAATGTATATTTATATATATATATATATATATATATATATAAAATCATAAATATAATAATTGTATATACAGTATATATACAGTTGTAATCAGAATTATTAACCCCCCTGAATTATTACCCCTCCTGTTTTTTTCCCCAATTTCTGTTTAACGAAGAGCAGATTTTTTCAACACATTTCCAAAAATAATAGTTATAATAACTCATTTCTAATAACTGATTTATTTTTTATCTTTGCTATGATGACAGTAAATAATATTTAACTAGATATTTTTCAAGACACTCCTATACAGCTTAAAGTGACATTTAAAGGCTTAACATGGTTAATTAGGTTAACTAGGCAGGTTAGGGTAATTAGGCAAGTTATTGTATAATGATGGTTTGTTCTGTAAACTACTGAAAAAATATAGCTTAAAGGGGCTAATAATTTTTACCTTAAAATGTTTTTTTTTTTTTTAAATAATTTTATTCTAGTTGAAATAAAACAATTAAGACTTTCTTCAGAAGACAAAAATATTATCAGACATACTGTGAAAATTCCCCTGCTCTGTTAAACATCATTTGGGAAATATTTAAAAAAGAAAAGAAAACTTCAAAGGGGGGCTAATAATTCTGACTTCAACTGGGTATATATATATATATATATATATATATATATATATATATATATATATATATATATATATATATATATATATATATATATATATATATGTATATATATATCACTCTTCAGAATTTCTTGGACATATTACAAATAGTATTTCGCATTATTGCACTTTATTTTGTGTATAATTACATATACTGTAATTACATACATAAATATATAATTTACAGTATATATGCACGCATATAAATATTTGCAATATATTTGTTTTTACAAAACACATATAGTTTCTATATACTTGAAGGCTATATCACAAATTTCAAGTTTCTAAGCAATACATGTATTTATTATGCATTTATTCTTTTTTTGATACTTTATTAATCCCAAAGGGATATTCATAAATTCCAGCAGTATCCACAAAAAGTATAGATTAAAACAATAGCAAAATAAATAAATGCACCCATACTCAAAATATATTCACATCTATGTGTACATATACCTATATAAACATGCATATACAGTGATATACATCAATCACATACATACATTCATTATAAAATTGTTTATAGTGCGATTTTCAGTATAAAAGGAAACACAAACAAGGGTGTAATTGTAACCTCGGGGATTGACACAAACAACTGAGGTTGGATCTACAAGCAGGTTTATTCAGTGTTCAGGCAAGCAATGGTCAACACAGGTGCAAACAGATGTATAAAGGCAAATCCAGAATTTTAGTGAATATAACAAGCAAGAGGTCAAAAGGCAGGCAGCAGACAGGGATAACTAAATAAACAAGGCTGGGAAAACGAGGCTAGGAAAACGCGTTGCAAACTGAATGAGTGAGTGTGTAGCTTAAATAGTGTGTGCAATCAGTCTCTGACAATCCTCAGGTGGTGTGAGTGTAGCCAGTCTAGATGAGGAAGCATGTGTGAGTGTGAGCAGAGTGCATGTATGAAAATGTAGTCCAGAAATGGCGGATTTGTAGTCCATGGTGATAGTTAGTGAAATCCAGCGATCTTATGAAAGATGATCGCTGGTAATCGTGACAGTAATAGGTGCAATATGTGCTATGTTAGTTATAGTCTAAGGGTGCTTTCACTTTTTAATCCTGCCTGAAAGAGGTGTTCTGGGGTACGGTTTATGCAAACTCTGGTACGGCATCAGTACTACAAACTAACGTTTTCATAACGTTTGTTCGTTCGTTTGTGTGTGTGTCTGGGTTACATTTCGTACCTTGATGACAAGCGGGACTGAGCCAGGGCAAACACAGTGATAATGTCTGCTTGTCTCCTCCAAAAACAGCTTCTGCAGACACTGTGTGATGTTCTGAATGTTTATAATATGTTTGCGGCAGATGGACGCGAGTCGCTTTCTGTATGTCCAAAACCAAAAGCTTCAGTAAAAGCAGAATGACCGCAATGTGCGGAAGTCTTTCCATTTTGCCCCTTTCGTGACCGTCACCTAGCAACGGCTGTAAACAAAACAGAAGCTCGATGACGCAAGCGTACCGGGGCTCAGAAGGAAAAAAGACAGTGTGAACACAAACCAACCGAGGAGGTGGCAAGAGGGGACAAATCGAACTTGGGTACGGTCCACACAAATGAACCAAGTGTGAAAGCACACTAAAAGCAGAGGACGAGAGATGAAAAGTGTCGGCATGTAACTCTCCCACCCCGTGTGGAATTAAAAAGCCAATAATGACCTCCTTAGTCTCTCGGTTAAGAATGTCAGTGACAGCAGTGACAAAGGATGCTGTGTATTAGGTGTATCAGATCGTCCTTATTATAAGTTCAACTTTAAATTCCTGAACAGTCTCTCACTACACTGCATGTCAAAATGAATTCAAAACTGAGCTGATCACCTTTGCTTTATAATGAGAATGTAAATAAAAGACAAGCATCGAGACTTACCTTTATAGCCACGGGGTAAATAGTTCCTCCAATTTCGAAACTTCCCTTTTTAAACATCATTACTGATGTATTATTGATGCAAGTTCCTGCAGGGGCAACCAGGTGCAAGTGTTAAAACTTCAGGCTGGACCTGACTTACCACAGAAACTGAATCTCAGTGTTTTTCTCACTGTCATTATGCTCTTACCCTCAGGAAAGATGAGTATTGGCAGCTTTGTTTTGGCATTTACGTGATCTTTTAACCTGTGATAGATGAGAAAACAAGAGATCAATGAACAGAGCTGAGAGGTTATCAAATGCACTGCAAAAACATTGTTTTCCTTATACTTACCCTAGATGTTTTTGTCTCGTTTCTAGTACAAAAACATCTAAAAATTCTTATATCAAGAAGCATTTTCTAGTCAAGCTAAATATATAGGTCTCTACCACAGACCCAGCGCAATAAGGCGCAAGATGTATAGGGCGTGCTTTGTTGCTATTTTCAAACCAGCGCAGCCCTAATTTTCCTGCTTTGCGCCGCATTGTTTAAATAGCAAATCCATTTGCGCCACTTTTTTGACTCATGGTTGTTTCAGTCTAAAAAGCAGGTGTGTTAGGCGCATTGTTGTAACAATGCTATTTTGAAGAACTAAAATAGACTGTGCAGTTGACCCGCTAAAAGCAGGCCTAAAGTCCAGCGCAGAACAAGTTAGTTATGTGCCTTAAATGCGTACACATTGCTTAATACACACAGGATTTACAACAAAACACAGATATCTTCACAAATGAAACAGAATTAATTGATTAAAATGTTACAAAAATTTTTACTTTATACACAAATATAAAAACCATGCAAATCCATGCTTTTTTCATCTTGGGGGGGCTTTTTTCAGTTGCTTCATGACAGTTTGCTTTTTTAGCAGTATTATTTCTTATATGCATATTTATATTTGTTTTAATAAAAACATGTTTAGATTTGTCCCCCTGTCGGATTTTGGAGACGTATGCATCACCATGGGTCATAAGAACAGGATGTGTGTTTGGATAGAACTCAGTTTCTAAATTGTTCATTTATTTGTTTGCTGGATATTAGAACAGAATTTAGAAATAGTTTTGAAAGTTTACAAACAAAATTAAATAGGTAGGCTAATGGATGTCTTTAGGAGTGCATACAACACTATTTCCTTATCCATGTAAGTAAATGAGTAAAGAGAAAGTAAAGAGGCTGAATGGAGGAGGCTCATTCTTGATCCTCGTGCTGCAGATGCTCTGTTCAACTGTTTTCTCGCTAGTGAAGCACTCAGTTTTTCTGCCTACAAAGTTTGTCTTGTAAATAGCAAATGTGCCATGGTGTGATGCAACTGACTTCTAAAGGGAATTGGAAATGAGACTCTGAGTGGTTTATGCTCAAAACACACCTATAACTCAATAAAAGAATAAGCTCAACCCTGTTAGACCATGCACCAGGGCGCAAAGCAGATTTATCTGCCCCTAAAATAGCAAAAGCTTATTCAGGCACATCCTTAACGCTTTTGCGCCATGCGCTTTAGACTTTGTGCATAGATCGTTAAAATAAAGCCCATGGGCTTGTTTTAAGAAATAGTATGTCAAAATGAATTGAGTTTTTCCTTAAAACGAGCAAAATAATATTGTTTTTCCCTTTGACATAAGGTTATTTTACTTACCCAACTAGCTGATTGTTTTTCTTCATTATTTTTAGAGCTTCTTTTTGGTTAAAGTAGCTATTAAAGGCTGAAAATTGAATTTTTTAATTGATTACTGTGAGTTCAGTTCCTGTTCATTTTATCAGCATTACGTCACTGTGTGAAAACAAATGGTGTATATCCTGAGCCTAACCCTGTGCGGATTAGCTAGGTCAATCTGCAGTTAATGTCAGAATTATTGACGTTATTAGTATCTTTTTTCCTTTATTTCTGTTTAACAAAAAGAAACATTTTTTCAACACATTTCTACACATAATAGTTGTATTAACTCATTTCTATTAACTGATTTCTTTGCCATGATGATCATACATAACATTTTGCTAGATGTTTTTCAAGATAGTAATCAGCTTAAAGTGACATTTAAAGACTGAACTGGGCTAAGGCAAGTCACTGACTGTATGGTTTGTTCTGTAGCTAATCAAAAAAAAAAAAAAAAAAAACTTAAGGGGGCTAATAATATTGACCTTAAAATGGTTTTCAAAAATTAAAAAACTGCTTTTATTCTAGCCGAAATAAACCAAATAAGACTTTCTCCAGAGGAAAAATATTATAGGAAATACTGTGAAAAATTCCTTGCTCTATTAAACATCATTTGAGAAATATTTGAGAAAAAATTCACAGGAAGGCGAATAATTTTGACTTCAACTGTACATACATCACCGCTGGCAGATTTTATTGGCGATGTAAAATACTGTATGTTATTGAAACAGTAAATAGTTTTGGAAAGTCTCATTCATGCAGAGAGGAGCTGTACTGACATGACTGTGGAAGAGCTGCCCTGGGCGCTACTGAACTGAGCTTACTCGATTTAAAGGGATAGTTCACAAAGAAATTAACATTTAATCAGCATCTATTCACCCTCAAGTAGTTCCAAACTAGTTTCTTTTGTCTGTTAAATACAAACAAAGAAAACTTTTAGACACTGACATCCAGGGGAAAATGTCAAGTCAATAGTTACAGGTTTCCATTCATTCATTTATTTTCTTGTCGGCTTAGTCCCTCTGCTAATTCAGGGTCACCACAGCGGAATGAACCAGCAACTTATCCAGCATGTTTTTACGCAGCGGATGCCCTTCCAGCCGCAACCCATCTCTGGGAAACATCCACACACACATTCACACACACCCTCATACACTACAGACAATTTAGCTTACCCAATTCACCTGTACCGCATGTCTTTGGACTGTGGGGGAAACAGGTTTCCAGCATTCTTCAAATGATCTTCTTTTGCAATTAAAGGTATGTATGTAAGTTTGACACCCAGCGGTTGAACCAGGTATTGCATTCCTGGATTAAAACAAACGCAAGCGCAGGTTTCCAGATTGAGGACTAACAGGAGTGAGTCTGATAATCAAGCTTAAAGGCTGATTTAAATTGTATTCTATATGAAAGCAACGACACGCAATAGATGGAATATTTAGCATATTAAATGGAGTTTTTGTTCCAACCAACTACTACTTGCTATTTCTTGCAGCTGAACAACAGAAAACTGACAATGATCACCTTAGGTAAACCTCATGTGCTTTATTCAGTGTTGAATGCTAATAACGTGAGTTTGAAGGCCATTATACATGACATTTATTGCCATACTACTGAAAGCAGCAGCAGAAAGTTCACCTCAGATCTTGAAAATAAAATAAACCATGTGAAATTGATCTTAAGAACAGACTCAAAACCAACACATATCAGTGATTCAGCATCTCCATTTAATAATGTTAAACAGTTTTAATATGTATTACAGTTTTTCTCAGTCGCTTTGGTGCATTTCTCACTACACTATTTACATTTGCACAACAGTTAATGCATTTCTCAAAACAATAAGTGCAAACTGCAAAACCTAGCTGATAACCTGCAAAAGCGCGTCACATGCTCAAAATGGATAGTTCATTCCTCAAAAGCAAGTATTCATGTCAATCAAACTGTGAGTATTGTCGAAATGAAAAGTCCTGACACCATTGTTTATGAACAAGATAGTCAAATGGCTTAGTCATGTTTTCATTATGACAGTTTACTCTGTACATTTTTTCAACGCAAAAAAAAAGTCAGACTTTGTTGACACTTCCTGAAAATGCTCAAGACAGCACTATAGACTATTTGCACAGCCATTTGAAAACTACAGTAAAGTGAGACATCACTGCATTGAGTGAGTTATCTGAGTACAAGACACTGAATATGTATGTTTCACATTTTTACTGCATTTGCTCTTTGCAATCCTAATTTACTCACAGCATTGTGCAAAAGAATAAATACACCCTTATTTACAACAAGCATAAACTCCCTTTAGGTAGAGCTGTGCACAACTGTACACAATATTGCAGTACATATTGGAACTAAGCCTACAACATACACAGGTCTGTAAATCATGTTTCTTAAATATCAACAAACATATAATGGTATTTTAATGCTTTAGAGGAGTCAAAAACTTACACACAGCACCTTTAAGATGAACAGTTGATCACTGCAAGTTTTTGTTAATCTTTAATCAAAAATTAAACCATTTGCTCTAAAACGGCAGTCCTTATCCGATGATGTGAGGTAAAATAACATACTTAGCCGTGCCCCCTCCACCCATTGACTTGGTCGGCACATCCGGGAACGCCCACAAAAACATCACTACCGTTTGTGCTGTGTTGGGAAAAGAACCCATCATTATGAATGTATGGAGAGCTTGTTTGGTGCTTTGTCTTAACTTTATTCATTTATTCTCCTTCGGTTTAGTCCCTTTATTTTATCAGGGGTCACCACAGTAGAATGAACTGCCAACTATTCAGCATATGTTTTACACAGTGAATGCCATTCCAGCTGCAAAACAGTACTGGCAAACACCCATACACACCTACACTCATCCACTACTGCCAATTTAGCTCACCCAATTCACCTATGGCGCATGTCTTTGGACTGTGGAGGAAACCTGAGCACCCGGAGGAAACCCACACCAACACGGGGAGATTTTTTTAATCATTAAAGACATTTTTGACCAAGGAACTATTAAAAGAACACGAAATGTGCACTTTTATGGCTGTGTCTTACTTTTGAAACCATCTCCATGTATGAAATTAACAGAGTGTATTAGTGTGCCACTAATTCCCAATGCAACCTGAGTCTTGGATGCATGTCAGAACAACGTGTGTTGTTTTAAATAAATGTTTCTGTTGTGCTGTGAGGCACATAGCAGCTGACTCAGACTGATGTGTCCCAGCATGCAACCGGGAGAAATTCTGTCTGAGAAATATGACTTTATGCATGGATAGTGGAAGTCAAAATTATTTGCCTTCCTGTGAATTTTTTTTCATCTTCAAATATTTTCCAAATGATGTTTATCAGAGCAAGGAAGTTTTTACAGTATTTCCTACAATGTTTTTTCTTCTGGAGAAAGTCTTATTTGTTTTATTTCGGCTAGAATAAAAACAGTTTTTAATTTTTGTAAAACATTTTTAAGGTCAATATTATTAGCCCCCTTAAGCAATTTTTTTTTTCGATTGACCACAGCAGTGGCTCTCAAAGTGGGGGTCGCGAGACAATGAGGGCGGAAGGGGGTCGCTTGGTGATTTCTAAAAATCTCACATTTTATTAAACTATTAAAATGATAATATTTTATTAATTATTATATTTTAATGTTGACCCCTGGGGTTATTATGCTGGATTAACATCACAGCAATAGTGTTAGTTGCAGTAGATTGATTTTGTGGTACAATATTAAACTTTGACACCTTTCTGGCAGTCAAATACATTAAAAATGAAGTCCACGACTGAACAAGGAGAATAATCTCCAAGTGGCTCCAAGCCTAAAAAAATGTAACCAAGAATAGTCTTTTTCTTATAAACATTGTGCTTACCATTCTCATGAAGTGAGGTTAATATTAAATTAAACAAATGAATAATGATTGTAAAAAATATATGGTTGTTAGACTTACACTTTTTTTTGTTGCCAATATGCCTATGTCTATATAGTTCCTATTGGTGTGTGTGCACCATTGTGTGCAATATTTGTATGCTTATAACCACTACAAGCATAGTGGGGGTTGCGAGCCACTGGAGTTGTTATTTTAGGGGTCATGGGCTGAAAAGTTTGAGTATCCCTGGACTACAGAACAAACCATCGCTATACAATGACTTGCCTAATGAACCTAGTTAAGGCTTTAAATGTCACTTTAAGCTGTATAGAAGAGTCATGAAAAATATCTAGTCAAATATTATTTACTGTCATCATGGCAAAGATAAAATAAATCAATTATTAGAGATGAGTTATTAAAACTGTTATGTTTAGAAATGTGTTAAAGAAATCGGAAATTAAAGAAATCATTGGGGATAAAATATACAAGGGAGCTAATAATTCAGACTTCAACTGTATATATACAAAATGCAAATGGCAGAGACATTTTAAAAAGCTTAAAACAATTTTATAGTGATTTCTAATTGATTAAAAGCAATCTAGTATTGTTTATTGCTGTTTTACCTCTGTGTCACCAGGTGGCGGTCTCTCATCTCTGATCTCTCGAACCAGATATGAGGGCAGGATCGCTCCATGGCTCGCTGGAGGACTCCCATTAAACCACCATGAACCTGCCCCACCTGTTTGGCAACAAAATGTTTTTTTTTTTGTCAGCAGTTAGTTTCACCTCTGAAGTGCAGTGTTAATAAGGCAGATAATTTAATCCTCAATAACTAATGCAGCAGCTCTCAGATGTTTGTTTGGGTTACAAATGTAAAAACATTCATTCATTCATTCATTTTTCTTTGGCTTAGTCCCTGATTTATCAAGGGTCACCACAGCGGAATGAACCGCCAACAATTCCAGCATATGTTTTACACAGCGGATGCCCTTCCAGCGGCAACATAATACTGGGAAGCATCAATACACACTCATTCACACTATGGCCAATTTAGTTCACCCAATTCACCTATAGCACGTGTCTTTGGACTTGTGGGGGAAACCGCAGCATTTGGAGGAACATGCAAACTCCCCACAGAAATGACAACTGGCCTAGCCGGCACTCAAACCATTGACCTTCTTGCTGTGTGGCGACAGAGTTAATCACTGAGCCACTGTGTTGCCAGATTTAAAAAAAATTATACTAGATAAATGATGTTTGTTGGAAGTAAATATCCAACAAAATATTTTAAACGTGTTAAAATATTTGAATTAAAAAAAAGTTATAAAAACAGTTTCAAATGTGACTTAAAATATCATAAAAATAAAGAATGAATAACAATTAATAAAAACTTTAACTTTCTGTGTTTTTTTCCAGCTTCATACAATTTTAATACAACGTAAAATATAGATACACAGTAAAAAAAGTCCTAATTTTCACAACTTGTTACTGTAATTTTTCACATTACATTACATGAGTATCACTTTACAGGATTTAACTGTTTAAAATTATTTTAAAACAGTAACATAATTTTATTGTGAAATTAAAGCAGGTTGCATGATTACTGGAAATTACTGTAAAAAGGATCTATATCTTTTGCATGTTGTTTATAGGAATTCAAACTCTTTTTATTTTCATTCAATATAGACATTACTACAAACTAATTTTCATGCTAGTATTGGCACTTTTTCATATTTAGAAATAACAGAATGTTGTTTCTAGCCCATAAAAACTATCTGGTGACATATTTAAAAATAACTTGAAAGAAAATCATCCTGTTTTGAAGCGACATGAATGTCATAGTAAATTTCCGTTTTTGGGTGCACTGCACCTTTATTTAGTTTAATAAGGCTAACATGGAAATATGAAATCATTTTTAAATGAATATAACTCTGTGCTTAGCCAAAAACATAATAAACTGGAACAAAAGTAATTGACTCACAAAACCAAACACTGTTAAGCATTTAAAATGATTTCAAAGTCAGGGGAAATGCCAGCATGAATAGCAGAGGAAAGCCTGCTTCACAGTAAAATAGTTTATTCTTCAAGATAATACTGTGAAACCACAGTAATGGACTTCACTATCTGCTGCAAAGTTACACTATGTGGCTATAAATTCACAATAATTTAACAAAATCACAGTAAATTACTGTGAACTACCTCACAGTAAATTCCTGTGAATTCACATACAGTATTTTACTGTGAAAGTATTGCAATTATTAGCCAGTAATTTACATTCAATTTATGGTCAAATATTTTACAGTGTATATATGCTGGAAATCAAAAACGAAGCATTCCAAAATTACTCATAATATAAAAAAAAGGAAAAAAAACATGAATTTTCTGCATTTTCTTTATACATTTTTAATGTGACGAATAATGTAAACAATTATTATAAAATAGCTCTTGTAATATCCTGTAAAAAAAAAAAAGTAATTATAGAAGATATGTGAATTTTTAAATAATAAAACATTTCGGGGCATTTTCTTTCAGCTTTATTTGTTTTATATGCTAAAACTAAATTATTATTTACATTAATAAAATTAATTTATTAATGTATAATTTACAATAATAAAATTACATTCTCAAAACAACATGGACAAACCTCCAAACCACTTGGCAATTGTTCACAACAGAATTAAATTTCACATTCATTTCATCAAATTGCAAATGTCCAAGTACATCTTTGCAGTTGATTAAAGAGCCCATATTATGGGTTTTTGAAAATTCCCCTCCATGTACTGTGTAACACAGCTCTAAGTGAAGTGAAGTATCCAGCTAAGGCTTAAATCTGTTAGTGTACAGTGTTTAAAACGGTTGATTCATCTATAAAAGAGTCGACTCATAGTGCTTCAAACGAGTCGCCTTGATACCGAGTCATTAGGTGTTTCGCCATGACGTACGAACGAAACCAAGTTATTCACGTGCACGCGCAAACCCGGGAGATTTCAAACCTGAGGCCCCGCCCTCTGACACAGAAACCCAGACACACACACACCCACAAACACACGCACACAAACATGCCGGTCGATTAAAGTCACACTGCAGATGGATATATTGAGTCTCTACCCAAACATGAAACCTCAGCATTATAACCAAGCAGTTGGAAACTACTGGAAACTTCTGGAAGCTACATGCTACAAAGAATACTTCATCTGCGTTTGTTAAAGAAAGGATCAGTAAAGAGTAACTTACTGATGGACGTCAGGATGGATTTTTCTTCCTCCATTTCTCAAGTGTAAGTACGTGCGATTAAAGTTGTTGCCTCGTTGACTCGAGCTTGCAAATGTATTTAGTTGTGATTTGTTACTTGTAACCGCGTGTACTGTATCAGGTTAACTGGCTATATTCTCTTATCGCGTGCAAAGACACGTTAAAAACGCGACGCGTGCTGCTTTGTTAACGGAGCTCCGTGGACGAGGAGTAGTGTGTGTGTCTGTGTGTGCGTGTGCGCGCGCTGTCGTCCGGAGGTGTGTGTGTGTGTGTGTGTGTGCGCGCGCGTTGTCGTCCGGAGCAGGGTTAAGTGCGTGTGTGTGTTTGTGCAATATGTGTGTGTGTGTGTGTGTCTGTGAAAAGAGCAGAGTGAGAAGCAAGGAGATCTCCTCAACTGTTTTTGGAGTTTTTGCTCAATAAAATAGTCAGTCGTCTGTATTTTCATGTCCATTGTCTGTATTTACATTGACCCACTGGCAGCTAAAATCCACGCCTACACTATCGAGTGTGTATGAACTGTGATTACTTTTTAAATTGCTGATTAGCTGTTGGCCATTTCACTCTCTGACTGAAGGCAGTCGACCAATCGCAACAGACTGTCATTGGTCCAATCAGTGCAGATTAGCTTCGCGCTAAGGAGGGGTTTGGGAACAAATGAATCACTGGACGATTCATACGGGAGTCGCTGGGATAATTAGGTAAAAATAAATCCAGATTATAAGACCATGAAAGTGTTTTTTGACCTTGCATGCATATTAGACTGTTGTTGGAGACCCTTACAACCAAAATATGACCCTATTTCATGTATAATATGGGCTCTTTAAGTACAGATAGCCGACATTTAGCACACTTTCCAAGAGAATAGATCTTGTTGATCTAAACTGATTGTTGATTCTCAGTCTAATGATTGTTCTCTCCAAAATGTGTCAGCATCATTTTATTGTATATGTCATTACATGCACTATAGTCTGGTTAATTGTCAAAATACGTCAAGACCATAATAGCATGAATAACATACAGTAGGCGAAACCTTGGAACATTTTAATACAATTTATTACAGCTTTTTATTCTTTTTGCTCTGATAAATGGAAGTTACTTTGTGTGTAGTTGATCATTACAGTAAAAAAGGAGTGACCATTTCCTTGGCAGTATGAGTGCAGTGTGTGACGTCAAACCCTGGAGACTACTCTTATCCTAAAATCCTATTTCTTTTTTTCAGTTTTATATACAATTGTGTTATGTTAGCTAGTAGGGGTGTCACGATTTCGATTTTTAATCGAAATCGATCGAAATTTATGCTCAATTTCGATTATCGAATCAAAAAATAGAATCGTCGATGCTGCCACGCCCCCATGTTAGCTTGGCTTGCCAAGCGGGAAAAAAACAGGCTTGTTGAAATGCTTGTTGAACTGCAGAAGCAGGAGACCCGTCGACAGAACTTAAACCCTCTCCTCTTTCAATGAAGTTGCCGGTGTTTAAACATTTTGGATTTCCAGTGAGTTATGTTGACAACGTTCTTGTTGTCGACAAAAAAAAAACACAGTTTTGCAAGCTCTGCTATGTACGCATTACGTACGGTTCGTCCGATAGACAACACCGGCATCGCGATCCTCCGCCTGCCCCCATTGCAAATGCGCTCGCGAAAAGTACACACTCAGGCCCTGTTTACACTGTCTTTGTTTTTAAATGGCATTTTAGAACGACAACGATTTGACACACACAGTGGCGTGTGGCATTTCTGAGCAGCCCTCCTTCCTCTCTACCTCTGAAAATGCACATTACGTGACCACACAGACGCACATACAGCCTTGCGCTCGAGACAGCAGGTCCAGGCAGTCAGAGGACTGCTTCAATCTTTCACTCACTTGTACTTAGTCATTTTAGCGAACACTTCAGATACTGTTGGCTGGTTCCTGTTGGTTGTGCGTCTTTTTTACCGACGCCATTATAACGACACAGATCACTGCCTATTCATGAGTCCCTCAGAAAAAGTGATTGACAGGTGGTAATTATGTGTGTATCTTGCCTTTATTCATTTACTGTATGATTTGTTTATGGGTAAAACAAAGACCATGCAGGTCAGGTAGTTTAAACGGTGGGCTACAAATAATTAATTCGTCATTAATTAATTAATTATTCATAATCGAAAATCGAATCGAATCGTGCCTTTAGAATCGAAAATGTAATCGAATTGAGGATTTGGAGGATCGTGACACCCTTATTAGCTAGACAAAAACAGTACAGTAATCATCGTCAGTGAAGGACTGGGCTAAGACTGTAAGGTGGACATGAGGGATATTTTAGCGGTCCTTTGCTATAATGACAAAGCATCCAAACATTTTCACTTGCAGTGCTTACACAATGCTAAAGGAACGAAGCATTTAGGAGGCACAGACTGTTCAAATGAGAAAGAAACTTAGTTGTGACACATGAGTGAACTGTTTTTGGAAAGGTATGAGTTTTTGCAAGTGAGCTATAGTGTTGTGCTAAACCAGGGTTGGCCACCCCTGTGCTAAACTGTAACGCTGTTTTGCCAAATGATCTTAGAATTTTGAGAATGTAATTTCTGTTTCAAGAAATGAGTCAAACCAATGGAGAAAAACTGTAACATGTTAGGTATTCAAATAATCTTAAAATATTCGAAAAATAATTTAATTAATCATATAAATAATCAAGTGACGAAAGTGCTAATGGGTGTTAATTCTGTCTCACTCACCATGGCATAACAGCCGTCATTAGCCAAAATAACCACATCAATGGGTGAAGTGTGATTAGCCACACAGATGCCGCCTTTCTTAGGTCTGTTCTGTCTGAAAAATGGAACAGCATTGCAGTTAGACTGATTTAAATTACACATTTGTCAACAGGTTTGTTTTAGTAGATGCTATAATTACACTATTATATGTAAATAATGCAATTATCTCCACTGACAGTCATTCAAAAGTAGTCCTTAACAATAATAAATTACTATGACAAATTAAGCAATTGGCAAGCCATCATAATACTACACAAAAATTCCATTATGCTAAAGTTGATGCACATTCAGTGACTGCTGCAAGAACTTCATATAGAGCGATCATGGTCGCATGACGTTTCCAGCTCATGTGATTGGCTAATAAAAACGTGAATTTTGAGCAAAACATTTAAACAACTGCAATGGAAATCCAAAACAAGTGGTAGGGATGGGCAGTGCTGCCAAAACTTTACATAGTTTTAAAATTACATTAGTAATTTTATTTCACAGTAACAATACATTTTGAGATATAAAATAAACAAAATGGATTACTTCTGAAATCAAATAGACTTCACCTTTGTTTCTTTTGTTTGGGTTAAATATATTAGGAATGCACACATTTGGATTTTTGCAGATATTTATTGAGATTGCAGATAAACTTTTTGTTTTTGAGAATTGTTCATTTACAGGTTAATTTACACTCAGGTTTGTGGTTTTGAATCCCCATAAGTGTTAGCTTCTCACAATTTTATGACCCCGGTTGATGATTTCTTCTAGATAGAACTAGCTTTTTTTATTACTGTAACACAGCAGCCTCTGACGAAACGTATCATAGGGTAGGCACTAGGACCCAGCGGGAGACTCCTTGGGAGCAATATTTTTTCAAAAAAGCAGACACTGAATGGGGTATATGCCGAGCTAGTGTTTTTCCCATACTGATAAACTTCCGGTGACCTGTTATTGTGAATTTTTTTTCTAATTTATACGGTTCCTTTAACAGTATCGATGTTGTAATGTCATTAAAATACATTCAGTTATATAAACTTTGGCATTCATTTAGCTGCTCAAGCGTAAAACGAGACAAAAAGCCATTTACTGTCAGAATAGGCAGTTCATTGAATAGACTGGGGTAAAATAAATGCTCATATTACAAAGACATGGCGGGGAAAAATGTAATTTAATGCAGTGCTTCTTGTACAATCTGAGACCCACTTTATATCGGATTTAACTCAGCCAGTGGAGATCGCTGATTTTGAAAGAAAACTGACCCTAAATGCGCCAATTTTTGCATTGGCATACTGTTGACCGGAAGCGCTTAACCCAGGTTACTTGCAAATTCAAAGTCCTATTAGCATGCCTCAGCATATACCCTATTAAGCTGTCACATATGAAAAAGTATTGATTTTTTGACAATTCTGACCAATATATATTAATCAAGATTAAAAATTTCATTAAGATTAAGCACTTCGTGTTATTTGTATGTTTTACTCTCATTTTCCTAGCTTAACGTCGTATAACTAGGCAAGCATTAGGACCTGGGGGAGTCTGTTAGTCAGCAGAGGCTGCAAAGCTACTCAAGTAGGATATTGTACACAGTGTTATTCTGTTCTCACATTCCCAGTTTTAATTCGGTAACCCAAAACAAAGGTAAAACCCAAATCACAGGTAAAAGTTCATCTCAGATTGCTGACCTGATCTTACTACGAGCACTCCAGTCACACCGACTTAAGCCCCAGTCAGATCACATGATTTTTATCCTCGGTTACGAAAGTCACTATGTCACTAATTAAAATTTTTTTTTATCAATAACCATATATTTCCTTTTTAATATTAAGATATGAAATCTAAATGTATTTTTTCCTGCCAGGGTTGCTTATTAAACACTCCCTCGTCTGAACTTATCGCGAGTGAGACAGAAAAAATGAAAGCACATCAGCAGCAGCAAGGAAAAATCAGATGCTCAAGACATAATCTTTAAAATAATTACATATTTTAAAATTAGGAAATGTATGACAGAGGTTTGTGATACAACAATTACAGTGGAGCATTCATTAAATCATTATTTTCCTTGGAGGGAAACAAATCATCCACCCGTATAGTTGAGTACTGAACGGGAACAAACAAAAATATAATTCATGTATTTTTCCTGGAAATATATATTTTTTAAAAATTTAGTTTTGTATAATTTTTATCTTAATTTTAATGCATCTTTTGTTGGTCAGTTATCTATAAACAATAATAATGAATAACATTTGAGGTGGTGTGCTTCAAAACAATTTCGCTATATGTGCCAAAACACAAATTGCCGTGAGATAGTGTTGGTTTGTTAAATAAAATAATAATCTAGCTTAAATAAAATTAACATGAAATATCCACAGTTTTTAAGAAGTCGATATTAAATAAGAAGTCTATATTGTTTTCACTATTAATGACAAATTTGAATAAGCAGGAAATGCCAATGTATTCACAGCACTGAACATGTTCCCTGATTACTTTGGAAGAACAAACTCTGTTGGAAGGATGAGAGAACTCAGAAACTCATTGTGAATGTAGATATTTGCAGAATGGAGAATTGCATATTTGTTCCAGTCTGTCAGATAAAATTGCTTAAAACACCTTAATATTTTAGAAAAGGTAGTTAAAGATTGCATAACCAATGATTAATCTTATCCACCCACGACTCACCCATATGTAAATATGCAGCCTATTTTTTGATTACCTGACCAGCTCATTAACGGCAGCACCAGTGGATTTAACTGAGAAATTCCTATTCCTATCCTAAGTGTTCCTATTGCACAATGTTACCCATGCAACAGAACTCTTTGTGAAGAACAAAAAAAAAACTAAACATGCTAGACTTTCTGCAATGGTGTCATGAGGGGTCGCATACATGGTATTGGTTGTCGTGAACTATGCCATATTACACAAGAGGAAACAATTGAATCTTGTGTCACGACGCCCATATTTAGTTTACGAATCCCCACAACACTCTATGTCAAGGAAATTGTGCCGAAATCGTATTAATTAATTAATTATAATTTCTGAGAGACAGTGCATCTGCGTCCATTAGCCAAAGATGGTTGACGTTGTCTATCTACAAGATGGTGCCAGGACCGCATAATAAGCCCTTGCTTAGAAGATTAAAACTGTTTGTTTTCTATCTACAGCTGATCAAATCATTATTAAAATTGTTAGTAACATTCTAAGTTGATTTCTCTCATTTATATAGATTGCAACTATGCAGTTTATTTATAAGGACAGTGCCTATTTTAATAGTTACTTTCCTATCCCGGTTTTCAACAGTTTTATTCAGACACCTCACCCCCGAACACCCCTTCCTTATCGCAAACACAACAGCAGTCTGGTAGGGATTGCGCCACTTTTTCCGGGGTTAATTATTGTGATAACCCGATTGCAACAGAGAAATACTGTAGACTGTACCACTGTAAGAAGATATCTCTGTAGACGGAGGGCATTTCATGTCAAGTTCAGCCTTATAATCTTCAAATGTCGGCAAAATCACCTGTTTTGTCAACACTTTATACATTACACTTGAGAATCATTCAGAAACTAGCTATAAAGTGACATTGGTGAAGTAGTACCGGCTTCTGGTCAACAAAGACATTTTACCGTAATTTTATGGTTTTTGTTTGGCAGCCGTAGCTGCCAGTCATTTGACCTTTTTTTTACGATTTTTTTTTTACAGTGTGTAGTACCGGCTTCTGGTGTTTTGACGTCAGCTGCTGATGTGAATGAATGGTAGAAGAAATTAGTTCCTAATACAAAAGGGTTTTTAGACTCTCTGTGTTTGTTTTTCTGATGTGCTATTGTGCCGTCGAATTGTTGTATAAACAATATTACACGAGTATCAGTGCTAAATCAAATCAAATCAAATCAAATCACCTTTATTGTCACATCATCAGCAGCACGTGTGCTATGATGATGGAAAAGCTTAGGTGCAGACAGTGCAAAATACAGACAGTGCAAATACAATGACTTGTGTGATATTGCTCATATATATATGTATACAAAGTTTTTCCCTTTTATACTTACAGGTTTCTGTATGTATGTGTGTATGTATATATTTGTGTATGTTTGTGTGCACATACATATATATATATTTTGTATTTGTTTTCTATTGTATCAACCATGCTATATACATTTAACTAAGTCATAATTAAAGAATACTGTTATTACCATTGCTGATAAACATGTTCACTAAAAACACAAAGTTTAAGTCAAAATTCCCAAACAAAATCTATTACAATTTAGCATTTATTCAGTGGTAACACTATCGACATACTGCACAGCCCTAATTTGTGGGTTGCGAAACCGTTGCTGAGTTTTTTTTTTTATGATGTACACAAATTGAACAGTTTAATATGTGATCCTAATCCATATCCATATTTTTTAAACAAATGATTCTTAAAGCTTTTTAAAGCTCCTTGAAACACCCTTTACTAATTATGAGCTGTTATTTAATTCCAGACACCACCTCTGTCTGAAAGCAGCCGCCTTTGTAGAAAGTTGACAACAAGCTTGTTCATGGAGCTTCCGTGTCTGAACAAGTCTAAAGCAAATTAATTGAATGGTTGTTAAATGAAACTCACTTGTTGTGGAAGTGAATTGTAGCTGAAAGGCCTCTTGCACAGATCCTGTAGCACATCAGGTGGACCAGCTCACTCAACCAATTCTTCACTCTGAAACAACAAACGGCTGTCATGAATATAATTAGGATTATGTAAACCTTTGATGGACGCACCCAGATAGAAAACACACACATGGATATGGACAAACAGGTGCAGCAGGGGTTGAATTGAAGAGCAGTTCGTTTGAAAGAATTTTTAAATATATTTTGCCATTTTTTAAACATAGATGTCTTCCAATGTAAACAGTCTTTAAATTTGTTAAATAAAAAGTGCATGATTAATAAAGATAGATTGTAATATATTGGTAACACTTTACAATAAGGTTCATTAGTTAATGCATTTACTAACATGAACTGATCATGAACAACACATGTACAGCATTTATTAATCTTAATTAAACATTTACTAATGCATTATTAACATCCAAGTCCATGCTTGTTAACATTAGTTAATGCACCGTGAGTTGACATGAACTAACAATGAACAACTGTATTTTCATTAACTAACGTTAACTAACATAAACAAATACTGTAGTAAATGTATTGTTCATTGTTTGTTCATGTTAGTAAATTCATTAATTAACATTAACTAATGAACCTTATTGTAAAGTGTGACCAATATATTATATATATTCAGGATATTACAAGAAGGAGTCTATATTTCCTTCTTCAACATAATCAAAGTAATATATTTAGATAATTTCTACCTGCCTGTGAAATACTTAAATGGATGTTTTATTTCAGATATGGAATAGATACAAATAGATCAATCAATGGACTTGGCCAGCAGACCAATCAGAGCAGAGTTGGCTTAGAGAAGGGAGGGGCTTACAGACTTTAAACATTTGAACATTTGATTCAAATTAACCAAAATCAACATCACTGCAAAATGTTTCTAATATTAACTGCAAATTCGGAGAAAATGGCAACGCTTTCTGACCCAAGATGTATTTAGAATCCAACACTATATTAGGAAACTTTAAAATACCATATGACTTGATATCCAAGAGCTGTATTGTATTTGTATGATATATAGTGCTGTGCAAAAGTCTCAGGCCAACATTAAATCTGTTGTTTTACTGATAGTATAATGGATATATGTGATCTTATACCACAAAACCAGTCATCATTTTTGTATTTTTTTTTTAATTAAGATTTATACCGGGTGAATAAATTATCTCTCAGTCGATGTAAGGTTTGTTAGGATAGGAGTTAGGTTAGACTTGACAAAAACACACCTGATCATTCATTTCATTTTCTTGTCGGCTTAGTCCCTTTATTAATCCGGGGTCGCCACAGCAGAATGAACCACCAACTTATCCAGCAAGTTTTTACGCAGCGGATGCCCTTCCAGCCGCAACCCATATCTGGGAAACATCCACACACGCATTCACACACACACTCATACATTACGGACAATTTGGCCTACCCAATTCACCTGTACCGCATGTCTTTGGACTGTGGGGGAAACTGGAGCACCCGGGCGAAACCCACACGAACGCAGGGAGAAGATGCAAACTCCACACAGAAATGCCAACTGAGCCGAGGCTCGAACCAGCGACCCAGCGACCTTCTTGCTGTGAGGCGGCAGCACTACCTACAGCGCCTCTGCATTTAATCAGTTTATTAACCTAATTCAGCCTATTTTATGTTGAAAATTCATTACTGTGCAGTCGTGAATGATTCATGCGTTTGTAAGTGTTATAATGTCACTATAGCATTACCTGCAGTTAGGAAGGAAACCCACTGTTGTTGTGCCGATTACCAACCAGGTCAGCCCTATAGTTGTAAGAGTAATTCTAGAGAAAGGAGGACAGATGCATGAATTGAAGGGGAAAGCATACTCATAACTGAGTAAAAATAGTGCCTTTATTCAACAAACACACCACGCCAATGAAAAAAAAGCACTGAAAATAACAAATACACTAGTGATGATTTGAGCTAATTAGCTTTTTTTAATGTAGGGCTGTCACAATTATGAAATTTGGTTGACGATCAATTGTTTAAGGTGCCATAAAGTGGATCGATTCAATAACTAAAATTGTTCTCTGTTGTCTACATTGCATATATTCATAATCTATATATCATGCATTTTGCATTCTTTGCATTCCATTTTGTTACAAACTAAGAGTCCCGTATACATTGTGAGTTTAACGTAACTTGGATAAACTTTAAATGCAAGAGTTCACACTTGGCTGATGATTGATAATAAAGCTTGTTTGGCATGTTTGGCATGTTGTCCCGGGAGAGAGCCCTGGGCTTCCTCCCGTTTGCAGGGCGAGAGGGGAGTTTGAGCTTAGGTAGATCTCGATGAACTCCCCTAACTTATTTCTGGCTAATAGAATGGCTAAGAAGAGATGTACACTTTCAAAGAGCTTGGCTATGGTATCAATTTGGTATGTTCAAATTACTTAGATTGCTTGTTTTTGGACTGTGGGAGGAAACAGGAAAACCCGGGAAAAACCCACGCGATCATAGGGAGAACAAGCAAACTCTGCACAGAAATATCAACTGGTTTAGTAGGGACTTTAACCAGAGACATTCTTACTGTGAGTCAACAGTGCTAATCACTGGGCCACCGTGTCACCCATCTGGAAAGAAGGGGCAGTAGGGGTGGGTAGAGGGAGGGATTCTTCAAGACGAAGATACTAAGATAAAAACACTGGTTATTTATGGCAAGTTAGGAATAGTTAGGCCAGCATTAGGCACATTCAAATCAAGACTGAAAACACATCTGTTTAGCTGTGCCTTTACAGAATGAGCACTGTTTTACGTCCACTATTATGTCTTTCTTTTCCTTTTTATTCTTTTATAACCTGTTTTTAACAAATTTTAATCTGTTTTTATATGTTTTAATCACTTTTATTTGTTTTTATGTCACTTTTATTCCTGTTTATGTCAAGCACTCTGAATTGCCACTGTGTATGAAATGTGCTATATAAATAAACTTGCCTTGCCAACCTTAATTCTTCTGAAGGTGAAAACCAAACAATATTTATACTTGGTCTAAGAATTCTTTTGATATTTGAACTAGAAACGTGACAAAACAAAGTAAGTAAAGCTTTGTTTTGCACTGTGATTATTCAATTCCCCAGAAAAGTGTCAAACAGAGCAATTCAAATCATCTTGTGAAATATCATATTTTTATTATAAAACATCATATTTTTCCAATATCACGGAGCCCTAATATAAATTATCTTAAAAAATGTGACTCTACCGTAGAGGAAGAAGTATGCAGTATCGCACAACCACACCGACCACCCACAGTACAGTGAGCCTGAGAGAGATGTACTGGAAGTTGTTGTTGGTTCGTGTGAGCAGGTTCCAGGACACCAGCTCCTCTGAGGTGAATCTCTGCGTCACATCGTCCTCCACGATACTCTCGAAACCTTTCCTGCTGAAGTACAGGACGTCACTCAGAGTGAAGTCTCCGCGATCTGCAGACTTCGGCCTGTTCCGACGCAACTCTTCAATCTCCTGCTCCAATGATGAATTATCACGCTGAATTAAACCTGAGGCACACAAACAGGGGTTAATTATTCGCTATAATAAAGATATGAATGCCTCGTATAGTCACAAATGCTGTATTTGTTTAAGGAGAAATACTGTAAAATAGTGATGTTGTAAAACGACTCTAGACCACAAAACCAGTCATGAGGGTTTTTTAGTTTGTTTAATTTTTTAAATAGAGGTTTATACAGTATCTGAAAGCTGAATTTATAAGTTTCCATTAATGTGTAGTAAATTTTTTTCCAAAATGAAATGCAAATATTTAAAAATCTGTCTTTTATGTTAGAAGTCTTTTATTTTCATTCATTCATTACTTTATTCATCAGGGGTCGCCACAGCAGAATGAACCGCCAACTTATCCAGCACATCTTCCAGTTTCAACCCAGTACTGGGAAACATCCATACACGCTCATTTACACACATACACTATGGCTAATTTAGCTTACCCAATTCACCTATAGCGCATGTCTATGGACTGTGGGGGAAACATATAAACTCCATACAGAAATGCCAACCAGCGAACCAGTGACCTTCTTGCTATGAGGTGACAGCGCGAACCACTGAGCCATCGTCTTTTATTAAATTAAATAGATTTTTTTAGGTTTGTACATAATCTGAAAGCTGAATAAATAAGCTTTCCATTTATTTATGGTCAATATTTTTTCGAAGAAACAAATATTAGAAAATCTGGAATTTAAGGTGTTAGAAAAATCGAACTATTAAGAAAATGGCATTTAAAATGGTCTAAATTATGTTCTTAGCTATGCTAATAACTAATAAAAAATTGGATTTTGATTTGCTGATTTCAGGACATTTACAAATTGCTTAAAATTGCAAAAAACAACTATTTTGTAGCATATATATATATATATATATATATATATATATATATATATATATATATATATATATATATATATATATATATACATATATATACATACACACACACACACACACACACACACATATATATATATATATATATATATATATATATATATATATATATATATATATAACATTTTATTATAAATATTATTGACTGTCACAAATGTATTCAATAATAAAATGCTTGTAGCAAAATAAGCTTATCATGAGTAAATCATGACAGGACTTTTAATTTGTAGCTAACCTATCTGTTATAAAAATAGGGAACGCAGTGCCCAAAGAAGCACATTCTTCATACTGTATGTCCAGGTATAAAGTATTCTTTCATCAACTGAGATGCTGATTAATCAGTGATGATCAGTAAGGTATTGATAAAGTGTTTATAAATCTACTGGAAGGTTTCACTGATAAAGATGGGCTGAAGTCCACCACGAATACAGCAGAGAGCAGCTTTAGTCATTGTATAACGTCTGATTGCTTAAGCAGTAGATAAGCAGAAATCTGCCTGTGTCTTCACACATCGCTGATCAAATGCAAAGGAACACAGCCGTCAGGAAGGAATAGTTATGAATCCTGAAAAATCTCATTCAATAACAAAACAATGGAGATTTCAGTCATTATTTACATTGTGCATATCATTTGCATTCTATTTTATAAACCTCGTGTTATTGTGTTGATTTTAGGGAACACTCCACTTTTTTTAGTAATAGGCTTATTTTAGAGCTCCCCTAAAGTTAAACATTTGAGTTATACCATTTTTTAATACACTCAGCCGATCTCCATGTCTGGCGGGAGCACTTTTAGCTTAGCTTAGCATAATCCATTGAATCGGATTAGACCATTGGCATCTCACTCAAAAATGTCAAAAAAAGAGTTTTGACAATTTTCCTATTTACAGTTTGACTCTTATGTAATTAAATTGTGAACTAAGACCAACAAATATGAAAAGTTGCTATTTTCTAGGCTAATAGGAACTAACCCTAATTCCACCAAAGTAATCAAAGAACTTTACTACCGGACCATTTTTTATTACAGATTGGTGGGTTTTTACCAATTTTTGCAGCTTGACAGTGACTTTAAACTGACATTGAGTTTTGGTCTGTCAATATGTGCTACACACGAAAAAATGCTGGGTTTATTTAAACAAACATAGGGTTTAAAATGTAATTTTATTATTAACCAAAGGTTAGGTGTGTCCATGTTCGATCTAACAATATGTTAGTACAACCCAGAATGTTTTATAGCGTTCTGCTCAAAGATTTATGTTAAGTTATTGTTTTTTTATTAGTCATGGGCAAATTCTATTTAATTTTTCTTTTAAATGTATAATAGTTTTCTAATATATATATATATATATATATATATATATATATATATATATATATATATATATATATATCAGCACAAATCAATCATATAAGAAGGATTTCTAAATTTCCAAATGATTTGTCCACATCAGCCGGAAGTTGCTGAAACTTTTATTTCACTATATTGTTGTACCATTTGCTTCAGTATTTGGAGTGACGGTCCTTCTGTTATCATCATTAGAGGGTTTCCATAGTTAATGCATATTAATACCTTCTATTACTGTAGATTGTTATGAGAAAATGATGCGCAAAAAGAAAGCCCCGCCCCCTACTCAATATCCAGTTTAAGTTTGAGAATGATTTCTAAAGGACCATCTGAAAAAAAATGACCATGTGAATAACTAAACCAACACCAAAGTAAACCACAGTAAAAAAAAAAAACCACAGTAATGACATTAAAAATTAAGCTTTGCATAACTGAAATAATTTACATTTTAAAATATATTAAAGTAGATTTCAGTCCATCTAGAGCAGGGGTCTCAAACTCAATTTACCGCAGGAGGCAAAGTCTGGGTGAGGCTGGGCCGCATAAGGGATTTCACAAAAAAAAGTCATCAAATGTCATTATTAACAGTTTTAATTATTTCTTCTGAACATGAAGTGTCCTGAACATTAATAGAACATTGAGTGAAGATTATGAACAGTTCTTCTGAACATGGCATCTTTTGCCTACTTCTTGCTGCCAGAGACTTGACAGCGCTTCTTTTCACAAATCTGAACCACATTTGGTTTTAGAGCGGAAGCAGTTGAGACCCTCAGTATGGCTTGAAGATGATCATCATTAAGTCTAGACCTGTACTTTGACTTATTGAAGTCCTAGGGAAAAAAGTGGGGGAACTCACTCAAAACTTCCATTCCCTCACCTAAAAAAAAGGCGTATATATGTATAAATAAAACACCCCCACCCCACTCCAGTCACATCAGTCTGTACCAGTCTGTATCTACCTATAATATCAACACAAGATGCAGGGCAGGCACGTGCACACATAGGGCTCAACCTGTGCAGAGCACATGCCCTTTTTAGTCTTGCATAGAAAGTGCCCTTCCAAAATGATCAAAAGTGCCCCCGCGACGCGACACACCCTCGGTCCCGCCCTTCAGTAGGTGCGCGATAACACCGCTCTTGAGTACGCGCGCGACAACACAGCTGATCAGAACGCGCGCGACAACGCGCATTGAGTGACAAGCGCGCTGTGTACGGATAGAATCAGCGGAGCGGGGAGCGCTCTCTCTCCCCGCTCCGCTGATTCTGTCAGAGTACAGCGGTCGGCGCGGGCCACAAAATATTGCACTGAGGGCCACAAATGGCCCGCGGGCCGCGAGTTTGAGACCCCTGATCTAGTGTGTAATAATATTTTACAGTATTACTGTATTTGTCTGCATGAGTCGGAAGTTGCTACGACTTTTATTTCAGCATGTTGATGCACTTCCAATTGAAATGGAAAATTGAGCAGGGGGCGGGGCTTTCTTTTTGCGCATTATTCCCTCATAGCGATCTAACTGTAAAGGGGCGTGGTTAGGAATACTGTGACTAAAGCTGTCAAATGGACTGACTTAAAATTCAGTTAAAATTTTATTTACATTATTTTTATTTTGCTAGCTCACATTGTTATTCTTAAGGGGAGTAATTATTCCGTTCATTAATTAATCCGTTTGTTTTGATAATCTTTAATGAAAGTCTGACCATTTGCTTCAGCATTTGGAGTGGCGGTACTTCTGTTGTTGTCATTCAGAGGGTTTCAATAGCAACTGCATATAATTACCTTCCTTTAGCCTTAGTTTGCTATGAGGAAATGATGCGCAAAAAGGAAACCCTGCCCCCTACTCAATATTTCGTTTTAGATGAAAGTACATCAGCATACTGAAATAAAAGTCTCAGCAACATCCAGTTCACGCTTTAAAAATCCTATGATAAATAATAAAATAAATAATATAAATATAATAAAACAATTTAAATTATAAAATGTAATAATATTAAAATAAAAATAATATAAACAATAAAACTTATAAAATAAAAAATAAAAAATATTTTAAATCGCCCAACATTTGGACAGTAGTCTAGATGTTTGGGAAATTTAGATGAATTAGTATTTTGAAATAACTTTGTTTTTAATATTAAACACCTGTATCTAGATGGAATGTATGGATGTTTCCCAGTAATGGGTTTTAGCTGGAAGGGCATCTGTTGCGTAAAATATTTGCTGGATAAGTTGGCGGTTCATTCCGCTGTGGCGACCCCTGATTAATAAAGGGACTAAGCTGAAAAGAAAATGAATGACTGAATCTAGATGTGTTTTGTGACTGTATATGTGTGTAAACTCACCATTTGATGCAGACTCTTTCAGTATTTCCTCAGCTCGACTCGCTCTTTGGATTCTGTGTGTTGCCCACTGTAAAAAAAAAACACACACCAGACAAACATAATACATTCTGCATTTCTTCCTGAGTATAGGAGTTACAATTGCATAATAAATCACAGGTCAAAGGACAGTAAGCATAGTGATGATGATACAGCACATTTCAGTTTGAGAAATATACAGTACATCATCTGATTGAGCCACATAGTGCATTTGCCAACAAAACTGCTTAATTTCCCTTTAGCTAGTATGTGCAATGGACTCTTTTCACAAGACTGTTATGACGCGTTTAACAGTCATCATCATTTTAAATCCTTGGAACTTTTTAATATTTCGATTTTTTTAAAGACATATGTATACACTTATCGGCCACTTTATTAGGTACACTTTACTAGTACCAGGTTGGACCTGCTTTTGTCTCCAGAACTGCCTTAATTCTTTGTGGCATAGGTTCAACAAGGTACTGGAAATGTTACTCAGAGATTTTGGTCCATATTGACATGATAGCATCACACAGTTGCTGCAGATTTGTCGGCTGCACATTCATGATACCAATTTCCCGTTCCACCACATCCCAAAGGTGCTCTATTGGATTGAGAACTGGTGTCTGTGGAGGCCATTTGAGTACAGTGAACTCGTTACGTTCAAGAAACCAGACTGAGATGAATCATGCTTTATGACATGGTGTGTTATCCTGCTGGAAGTAGCCATCAGAAGATGAGTACACTGTGGTCATAAAGGGATGGACATGGTCAGCAGCAATACTCAGGTAGGCTGTGTGGCGTTGACACGATGCTCAACTGGTACTAATGAGCCAAAAAAATATTTCCCACACATTACACCACCACCAACAGCCTAACTGTTGAAACAAGGCAGGATGGATCCATGCTTTCATGTTGTTGATGCCAGCCGAATGTCACAGCAGAAATCGAGACTCATTAGACCAGGCAACTTTTTTCCAATCTAGTCCAATTTTGGTGAGCCTGTGTGAATTGTAGCCTCAGTATCCTTTTCTTAGTTGACAGGAGTGGCACCCGGTGTGGTCTTCTGCTGCTGTAGCCCATCTGCCTCAAGGTTGGATGTGTTGTGCGTTCAAAGATGCTCTTCTGCATACCTCTGTAGTAGTGAGTGTTTTTTTGGGTTACTTGAACTATTCTGGCCATTCTCCTCTGACCCCTGCCGTCAATAAGGCATTTGCGCCCACAGAACTGCCAATCCCTGCATACTTTCCTCTGTTTCAGACCATTCTCTGTAAACCAAGTAAATCAGCTGTTTCTGAAATACTCAGACCAGTCCATCTGGCACCAACAACCACGCGACGTTCAAAGTCACTTTAATCCCCTTTCTTCCCCAATCTGATGCTTGGTTTGAACTGCAGCAGATCATCTTGACCATGTCTACATGCCTAAATGCACTGAGTTGCTGCCATGTGATTGGCTGATTAGAAATTTGCTTTAATGAGCAGTTGGACAGCTGTACCTAATAAAGTGGCCAGTAAATGTATTTATTTTTATTTATGTTTTTTTATTTATGTATGTATTATATAATGTATTGTATGTATTACATAATCTTTGCATTAAATTACAAAAAAAACAAAAAAACAATTACTGCTTATGTGAGGCTTTCTAATGCAGTGTCTATGGGGCAGGACAGTAAATTTGACGTTGCTCTCTCCTCTGGCTCCGGTCTCACACTATTTTTGTCCTTTTACTGAAAGTCTTGATAACATCATCGTGGAGGTTTTCTTTTATTTTTCAGCAAATAGGATTGTAAAAAATTATTTGTTGTATTCTCCTATTCACTCTCCTCTAAGTTTACCCAACTATTACCCAACTTCTGCAACTGAGAAACCTAAAAGGGAGATGTAAGATCTGTTTCACGCTGTAATTCTTAAACTTTAACACAGTTTTATTAAAAGTAATACATGCAGTATTGTGATCTCATATCAGAATAGATTATATGGAACTTATCATTCATTCAATTATTCATTTTCCTTTGGCTTAGTCCCTTTATTTATCAGGGGTCGCCACAGCATATGTTTCACACAGCGGATGCCCTTCCAGCTGCAACCCAGTACTGAGAAACATCCATACACACTCATTCACACACATACACTATGGGCAATTTAGTTTATTCAATTCACCTATAGCGCATGTGTTTGGACTGTGGGGGAAACAGGAGCAGCCGGAGGAAACCCACTCCAACAAGAGGAGAACATGCAAACTCCACACAGAAACTCAACTGAACCAGCTGTGAATCGAACTAGCAACCTTCTAGCTGTGAGGCGAAAGTGCTAACCACTGAGCCACCATGGAGCGTTTCATGTATGCAAAATGATTTGACACAGCTGCACTTTATTTGACGTAGGGCATGGTTTTATTAGACTTTTTGGAGGTGGACAGAATGAAAATTGGGTGTTAAATGCTACATAGGAGTCACATTTTGTCATTGGTTAATATATTACCCAACAGCGACGTCAACAAGAAAAAAAAGAAAGACGTCACAGCAAACAGTAGTAGAGGTTGTTGGTCATTTTTGTTTAATTTCTAAAAATTATTATTTCTATTAGAAAAACAAACTGCACAACTAATTTACATTAAGACCATTTATATTTATGGTTTTCATTTCATTACAATTTTTATTCATTCTTTCATTCTCTTTCAGCTTAGACCCTCATTTATCAGGGGTCTCCACAGCGGAATGAACCACTAACTATTCTAGCTTATGTTTTACACAGCGTATGCCCTTCCAGCCATAACCCAGCAAGGGAAACACCCATAAACTTTCCCATTCACACACACTCATACACTATGGCCATTTCATCTAATTCTCCTATAGCACATGTGTTTGGACTGTGGGGGATACCGGAGCATCTGGAGGAAACCCACGCCAACACGAGGAGAACATCCAAACTCCACACAGAAATGCCAACTGGCCCAGTCAGGACTCAAACCAGCGACCTTCTTGCTATGAGGCGACAGTGCTAACCACTGAGCCACCGTGTCGCCCAATACGATAGACAGAGAATCACATGCAGAATAATGTAATTATTTCAAGAAAGAAAAAAGAAAAAATATTACAGAGAGAGACTTTCTTTTTGAGTAGCTACGAGTCAGAATTACAAAAAAAATTGATTTTGGATTTAAAAACTATATTTTTTGTATTTGCCAACATAGTTTTGTAAAATATTTTAGCTTCTTTGATTGTATTTTTTAATTGTTTTCTGTACAATAAAATAAACAATTTTATAATTATTAATATTATTAAAATGGTGTTACGATGACTCAGTGGTTAGCACTGTCGCCTCACAGCAAGAAAGTTGCTGGTTCAAGTCCTGGTTTCCCGCACAGTATAAAGACATGCGCTAAAGGTGAATTGGATTAACTAAATTGGCCGTAGTTAATGAGTGTGTGTGTGTGTGTGTGTGTGTGTGTGTGTGTGTGTGTGTGTGTAAATGTGAGAGTGTGTAGGGTTTACCAGTACTGGGTTGTGGCTGAAAGGCCATCTGCTGTGTAAAACATATGTTCGTATAGTTGATGGTTCTTTCTGCTGTGACGACACTAAGCCAAAGTAAAATGAATGAATGAATTATTTTATTATTATGCTATTTTTATTTCTGTTTTAATTCATTTTAGTTCATTATCATTCTTTAAAATATTTAAATATTTACTATTTTAACTCAAACATTATTTTGCCAGGACACCTTTTTTATTATGTTTATGTATTCAATGTATTTTTTTCATTTGAGCTTTACCGTTACTCACAAAAAACAAAACAACGTCATACAGTACATACCTCTAAGGTTTTGATAAGGAGCTTCATGTAGGTCTCTGTGATGCCCAGCGAGATCCCAAACATTGCAGGCAACATGATCAGGACTATAACACAGCTGAACCAAACCTTTAGCACGGGGAACAAAACCGCCCAGTAGCCCTCCATGACCAGACCTTCAACACATTCACCACAACACTGGCCCAAAACACATCAAAACAAATCTGTCATGCAGCATCAGCATTTGTGTGAAATAAGCACTAATTAAATAGCAATAATACATAACCTATGATATGAAATGACAGATGATGTAATACAAAAAAGTCTGAAAGTCTTTTAAATTTTAAATACCTTTTAACCATCTATCACTTAAAAGCAACTTGAATACATCCCACATGAAAAAACAGCAATTTATAGTAAGTACTGTAGTGTTTTTAAAGCATACTATAGTAAAGTACTTGATATAATCTGTTGTGGTGATTCTATAGTTGATATAATAATACAATTATAGCAACATAAACGAATTGCCCTCGACTGTACTACAATTTCTTCAAATATAGGGTATACTGTATATTTTAACAATTCACCACAGATTGCTATAGCAAAATCTAAAGTATACTACAATTTTCTGTAGTATACTTTAGTAAAAGTAGTTACTGGATATATTATAGAGTTTATATACTACACTGTAAGATTTGTAACTGAATCTGTGAGGTGCTGTGAATCTGCATGTGAAGTGCATGCGCACAGATTTTATCTATTTTATTTATTGAATGGATTTAATCGTAATAATCTAGGAAAAGTCTGTAAAATGACAGTGTTTTTCTGTAAACATTTAAATGAAAATATCTGTAGATTTCTTATTTTTTGCACTTTATTTTAATAAAGAAATTTTCCCGTAATTTTATGGTTTTTGTTTAGCAGCCGTAGCTTCCAGTCATTTGACCTCTTTTTTTAACAATTTTTTTTACAGACAAGTATTTACAATTTATTACTTTAATTTAACGTCATTTAAAATATACTTAAAAAAAAGGAAAAAAACGGGAAAACACACTGTTTTAATAATATGGGAATTGTATTGAATGAAACAGGAAAATTGCTGCAATTTGTCATTAATTATATAGTTAAAGTACATAAAATAACAGTCAAGCTGTCAATTTACAGATATTCTTTGTAATTTTTACAGGCTTTTGAATATTAATTTAAAATAACAGAAAAAATACTGTATAAATAATACTGTAATTTCCCTGTATAAAAAACAAAAATGTCAGTGAATTGTCTTTAATGATAAAGTACCTAAAATGAAAGCCAAACTGTTAATTTAGAGAGATTGCTTGTCATTTTAATAAGATTTGAATATAATTTGAAAAGACAAAAAATGACTGTAAAAGATTTAGAGATATTTTCTGTAAAATTAGTTTATTATACAGTGTATAGAACCCTAACTATTATACTTATCCTGTAGTATACTGTTATTAAATACTACAGCATACCATGGTATTAACTGTAGCGAACTGTAGTAAACCTGTTGTGTTGCAAAAACTACAGTACACTACAGTATTTATTACAGTTTTACAGTTCACAAAAGTTAAAACTACAGTATTACTTCGTTACTAAATACTACAGTATTTAACACAGTTTTACATTAATACTACAGTAACATTCAATAAATACATGTTGTAAATTGTAATTCACATATTACAATATAACTTCAGGAGGCGGGGTGATCTTAATAAATTGCTGTGGCAACGTGAAGCCTTTTGGATTTTCACTTTAGACACATTGTCTCCAAAAGGTTTAAATGAGGAGTTTGACATTCGTTCTTTTCTTTAATATTCCTTAAAAATTCTATAATGTTTAATTAGTTTTCCAGGGATGGGTTGCGGCTGTAGGGGCATCCGCTGCGTGAAAATGTGCTGGATGAGTTGCCGGTTCATTCCACTGTGTCGGCCTCGGATTAATGGGGTGACTAAGCCGGAAAAAAATTAATGAATGAATGAATGAATGAATTAGGGGTTTGGTTTAAAGGTTTTTTGGCTATATTTTGTTGTATAGTCTGGTGTATCCTGGTACATTGTTTTCTTTTTTATAATTTGTGATGTAATATTATGGTTTATTTTATTTTGGATTTTCACTTGAAATATCTAAGCTATATTTATGAATGAGTGTGTCTGTATGCATGTATTCATATGTATATATTTATATGTGTATATGAATGATTGTATGTGTATACATATGCATGTATGTATATGTGGACATATGCGAGAGGATATCATGTGATCCGGAAGTGTACAAAAGGAGCACCTGATTGTGATGAACACTGTATGATGAAGAGCCGTGTGGCTCGAAATGTTTCACGCTTTGTGTCAGCTTTTTAAATGTAATAAATTTGTATTTGTGGAGCTTTAGTGTTGCCGCCTTTAATAAATATGTAAATTATAATATACACAGTATAATTCGCTTTGTGGTTGAAAACAAAACACTATGGCAGTGGTTCTCAAACTTTTTTCATCAAGTACCACCTCAGGAAAAAAATTGTCTCTCTAAGTACCACCAAAATGAGCAGTATTGAAATACAGTAGCGTAGTAGGCCCAGTAAAGCAGCTACAACTCTGCAAAGTAAAAAAATAAATAAATAAAAAAAAAAAAAAAAAAAAAAAGGGGGCAGATTACCTCAGAAATATAGGCTATTTGTCATATTGGCATATTATATACATAATTTTTGATAAATTTTGAAATGTGTGTAGCATGTACATGACATATTTCATTCCTCTGCGTACCACTAGAAGGAAGCCTGCGTACCACTAGTGGTACACGTACCATAGTTTGAGAACCACTGCACTATGGTATTTACTCTAAATTACTATGCCATTTGTTTACTTTTTCAAAGCAATATAGCTCAAGTATTTGAATTATTCTGTTGTGGTAATTCTATAGTCATTATGTTCATGCAATTATGGCAATATAAAAAAGCTGCTATAATTTAAACTACTTGACTATGTTTGCTTTAAATATGAGGTATATTTTAAATTTTTGTTTTACTGTTCGCTATAGTTAATATTACTGTAGCATTCAATAAATACATGTTGTAAATTCTATAATATACAGTATAATTCACTTTAGTTTGGTTCAAAAACACTTTCATATTTACTGTAGATTACACTGGCATTTGTTCACTTTTTCAAAGCATACTGTAGTATTAACTGTAGTGAAATGTAGTAAACCTGTTGTGTAGGGAAAAACTACAGTATACTATAGTATTTAATACAGTTTTACAGTAATACTACAGTAGCATTCAATAACAACGTGTTGTAAATTTTATAATATACAGTATAATTCGCTTTGTGTTTGAAAACAAAACACTATCATATTTACTATGGCAATTTTTTAAAACTGTTTTAAGGTATACTGTTTACCCTGGTGCACTAAGATTTATAACTAATTTTAAATCCCTTATTCATTATTGTGTGCTGTATGCTAGGGTAGGTTGGTCTGCTTTGTCTATTCGAAGGCTCAAGCATTCGCATATCTTTGTTTACAAATCTAAATAAGCTTTACTCCAATCATATCTCCAGAATTACATATGTAAAAAAAACTGTCCTTAGCTATGGCCTTCGGTCACAGGATATTTATTTACTGTCTGTTCCCAAAGTGTGGACTGAGATGGGAAAAAAGGCTTTTAAATACGCAGCCCCTTTTGCATGGAAATAATCTACAAAGACAGTTGCAGCTTAAAGAATTGATTTCGCTAAGGGTATAAATGATTTAGAAATTGAAACACGGGCTTGTAGATGTTTTGAATAGTTTGCATGTCAATGTGTGATTCATGTTAACTGTTAATGGTTTTTTGTTTGTTGTCTGTTGGACCCATGTGACATGTATACTGCCTAATCTTGACCAGGAGGCTCTTGTAAAAGAGATTTTTAATCTCAATGTCTTTCCTGGTAAAATAGAGTTTATAATAGTAATAATAATAATAGTAATAATAATAGTACAACTTGTAGTGAACTGTAGTAAACCTGTTGTATAGCAAAAAATACAGTATACTACAGTATTTATTACAGTTCACTATAGTTAATACTACAATATCATTCAATAAAGACGTGTTGTATAGTCTATTATATATATATATATATATATATATATATATACAGTATAATTACTTAGTTTGGTTCAAAACACTATATTTATTATAAATTACTATGGCATTTGTCAACTTTTTCAAAGCATACTGTAGTGTTAACTGTAGTGAACTGTGATAAACATGTTGTGTAGCAAAAACTACAGTATACTACAGTATTTATTACAGTTTGTACTTTAATACTACAGCATTCAATTACATGTTGTAAATCCAATAATATATATGGAGTATTATTCACTTTGTATGGTTAAAAACACTATCGTTTTTTATAAAATTACCATTTAATTTGTTCACTTTTTTAAAGCAATATATCATAAACAAATAGATGAAACTAAGCTTTCGTTTTCTCAAGGAATAAATCTCCAACTCACCCAGTTTCATGAACAGACAGCAGCTCTACAGGACAGAAAGCAGAGAATGCTCCTCTCTGTCATACTCCACTGACCCTTAACATGATTCTTCTACTGAAGGTGTTTAAAAGTCCGTTTGAGGAACTTCTGCTGCCTTCACTCGGAGATTGAGAAATAGCAATGCTGGAAGACATCCTAGACCTGTAAAAAATGTAGAACAAAGTTCAGCGGGAACAATAGAAAGGCGCGCCATCTTGCGGTTGTATGGTGAAATGCGCTGGACTTACGCACAAAGATGAACTTTAACCATGGAGTAAAGATGGTTAATGAGGACATGAACTTTTCTCATTATCATCAACGGGTTAATATAAAACAATTCACCTTTACTTTTACGCATTTAGCAAACAATTTGACTTAGAGTATGGGGTTCCGTTTGTGCCAAAATTTCCATGCCTGGTTTCTGCTTTGTACTTTACATTTGTCTTTGTCTACTCTCATTGCCCTCATGTTCAGGAAAATCAGCATTGTTGACGTACATGTTGTCTGTTGGTGTCGTCTTAATCTGTCGTCCTGTTGGTTTTTCTCTGTTTTTTACTGTCATATTTTATGGGGTATTCTGTCATCTGGGGCCTCATGTACGAAGACTTGCGTGGAAATCTTACTAAAACATTGCGTACGCACAAAGCTGTAAATGTGCGTACGCAGAAAAAAATTCAGATGTATGAAACACTGCGTACGCCGAGTCTCACGCATATTCTTTTGTACATCCGAATGAACGTGAAACTGAGCGCAACATGCACGAGCACAAAACCCCTCCCTGCCTCCTCCCCCGTATGAATATGCTAATGACTATGCTAATGTAAAAACCCAACGAAAAAGCAATGGCAAAAGCAAGCAAAAAGAGAAACTTTGAACAGAATGTGAAATGGAGGTGCTGCTTTCGGAGGTAGACCGGAGAAAAGCGGTGTTATTTGCAAGTTTGTTCGGCGGAATTAACAACAAAAGAAAAAAAATAGAGTGGGAGAGTTTAGCTGATACGGTTAACACAGTTGGGTCTGAACATCGCACTGAGTGCATTTAAAAAAGAAATAGTGTGGTTTATATCTGTAAAATGTTGTAGTACCCTTCGCAGTCTCAGTGGCGCACCTCATAAGAAGCATATGATCATGTACTGACACGTTCTAGCATAAACTCGGCTCGAATCCAGTGTCTGATGAATTCATTCTTCTTTTTTTTCCCCGCTACATATCAGATTTTGCCCACTATTTATCACGAGAAAGACAAGTAGGAATCATCAATAAGTTTGTGCATCATATTTTATTTGCACATTTATTGAATGGAAATGTTTCTGATTCACGCATGCAAATTTATCTTCACATAGTGTCTTTATAGCAATGTGCGTGCAGTAGATCGCTCAGATTACATTGGGAAAACAGGCGACCGCTGCAAATTGTGCTTTAATGTTTAGCTGGTCAACTGTATGGTATGGAAATCTTACATACCTACTATATGAACCCGTCTCATACAGACGCCATTGCAAGGATCAGACACTTTGTAGAGAAGAATTTAACACAACTGCCTCTAGGAGTCGCCAATGGAAATAAAACAGACACGCACAAAAAATGTGCGTACGCCTGCCAGAAACCTGCCGTGAACCTGCGCAAATTCCCACGTTCAGTTCATTGTTAGTAAATCCAAACGTGAGCGATTCTGAGCGTGAAACCTGGCGTACGCAAAGTTTTTGTGCGTACGCAGCGTTGATACATGAGGCCCCTGATCTGTTGTATATTCATCTTTACTGTCATCCTTACAGTTGTTTATGCTGTCGTCCTTATGGCCATCTGTTCTGTCATCCTAACCGTCGTCTATGCTGTCGTTTATACCGTCATTCTTACCCTCGTCTTTGCTGACGTTTGTTCAGTCGTCTATGGTGTCGTTTATAATGTCATCCTTACTGTCATGCTATCGTTTATACTTTCGTCTATTCTGTTGTTTATACTGTCATGTTATAAGGATTACAGTATAGACGACAGCAAGGATGACCATATAAACTGGGGACTAAAAAAGGGACTAAGCTGACAAGACAATGAATGAATGAATGAATGTCTTATAATATGCATTTAGCTTTACCTAATTATCCCAGCGACTCCTATTTGATTTGCTCAGCGATTCCAAACCCCTCCTTAGCGCGAAGCTAATCCGATGACCCAGTCTGTTGCGATTGGTCGACTGCGTTCAGCGTCCAATCGCCAGGTTCGCCTTAGTCCCTTTATTAATCAGGGTTCACCACAGCAGAATGAACGACCAACTTATCCAGCATACGTTTTACGCAGCGAATGCCCTTCCAACTGCAACCCAGTACTAGGAAACACCCATACACTCTCATTCACACACACTCATACACTACGGCTAATTTAGCTTACCCAATTCCCATATATATACTGCATGTCTTTGGACTGTGGGGGAAATCAGAGCACCTGGAGGAAACCCACACAAACATAGGGAGCACATGCAAACTCCACACAGATATGCCAACTGACCCAGCCGAGGCTCAAACCAGAGACCTTCGTGCTGTGAGGCGACGGCGCTACCCAGAGTTAAGTTTTTTTGAAGTGTAAAAGAGCACATTTTTCCTGTAAGAGTTGTTTTAGGTGTTTATTTGGGTGAATAGAACTGATTATACAGTTTGTACATTATAAAAATCACTCAATGAGAAGTCGCTATATACACACACAGCTGTATAAGTGTGTTGGTTTTACTTTATGACTGTAAATCAGTGTATTCTATGTAAATAAAATGACAAATGCTTGAAATGGCATGACTATACTAAGAGTTAGACAAGTGACCAAACTAGTTATATTCGAAAATTTGCATGAAACATTGCCACCTACTGTACATGGCTGGTTTAATGAATGCATTGAATTATTCAGTCTTTCATAGCCGTCACCACAAAAATAATGTGTAAAATTAAACAGTATATGAGGTTAAGCATCTTTGTGTTTTTAAATCCTTGCAACATTACAGTGACTCTGGATATATGTGCAGGCTGTGAAAAAGCACATGTGATCCATATGGATAAGAAATCTGTTCTAAAATTATCCAGTCTTTAATTAAATAACCATATCAAGATGAGACAAAAGAACTCAAGCTCAAAAACAATATTTCTGAGAGATGAAGCAGGAGAGTGGTGTTGCAGAGAGCGAGCGAACTCACAAACAGTTCACAAGGTAAACATCAGAGGGTAAGCGATCTCATACACAGTTTATCAGGTAAACATCAGATCTTAAGTTAAACACAGGGCCGGAGTGGGACACCTTTTCAGGCCTGGAGTTTCAAGCCTCAGACCCGCCCACTTCAGTTCCCGACTGACTATATTAAAATAAGGTCATTTCGAATCAGTTTCTAATGACACTATCACGTCTTTTTTGGAGAAAACAAAAAGCTGCTTTAGAACTTCAAATGTTCAACAACCCTAACAGTATTATGTCTTAACAATAAAAATGAAAACAATAAATTACTCTAACGAGGATCGAAGCCGGGTCCGCAGCATCTTAACCTAACGTGCTAACCGCTGGACCACAACAGCTGTGTACAGTAAGGAGACACAACTGAGTTTTATCATCATTAAAATAGATGAAAAGAGAAGAGTTGTGGTAAAATTATCAATAAAAAGGCTGTGGTCAAGTAAATAAATAAATTTAAAAAGTTTGACTGCTGAGAGCAACAGATTCTGGAGCTAGGGACACGGCCCTCGCGGCCAAAAAACGGACCGGCCCACCGGGAATTGTCCCGGTCCTCCCGATTAGCCAATCCGGGCCTGGTTAAACACCAGATAACCTTTAGACACTTCCCTTATCCAGTTGTATTGGCATCCATAGGCAAAGACAGACATCCATGGGAGAAGACTAGAGGGAGAGAAGATGAGGTGAACCATCCAACTTCGATTCTATTTGGTGAGTGAGTGCACTGCAAAAAATGCTTTTCTTGTTTAGATTTGTCGTTTTTAGTCCAAATATCCAAAAGTTCTTAAATCAAGAAGCATTTTCTAGACAAGCAAAACAAAGTCTTGTTTTAAGAAATAATATGCCAAAATGCTTTTCCTCAAATCAAGCGAAATTATCTGCCAATGGGGTAAGCAAAATAATCTTGTTTTTCAATTTGTGAAAAGATTAATTTGCTTACCCCATTGGCAGATTATTTATCTTGATTTAAGGAAAAACCCACTTCATTTTGGCATATTATTTCGTAGACTAGAAACAAGACAAAAAAAATCTAAGTAAGAAAAAGCATTTTTTGCAGTGTGGAGGAGGTAAGTTTATATAGTGTGCGGTGATTGCGGGTACAGGTGCATGTAATTAGTATTCAGGTGATTGTGCACGGGTGTGGTGAGAGGTGGCTGGTGAAGGAGACTAAAGCTGCGTCCCAAATCGCATACTTATGCACTATTCTACGCCATTTTGTAGTATAAATAGTGTAAGTAGTGGGTTCACACTGAAAACTCTAAAAATAATAAGTGCACTTTAATCACCCGGATGATGCACTCATTCAGCCGCTAAAATGAAGTGTGTAATGATGGACACTTCACGCACTCAACGACCGCAGGTTTGCTTACGTAGCGGAAGAGGCGGAGCTATCGGACGCACATGTTGAATAACTTTATTTAATTTGGATGGTGAAAGCAAAATTCTTTTACGAGAGTGATTATAGCGCCTCCCGATAGTGATTGCGGCAATACTCACGGCAGGTATTATTAGATAATTCGGCCGTTTACTTCAATGATTTGGCGACCGTCAAACGTCATCAGGGAAACGGTTTGAATTTCCGCTTAGTAAAAAAAACATTAGTGTGCCATTTGGGACGACACTACATACATATACTACCCTGTTGAGTGTGTAAGTGCATAAGTACATAGTGCATGAGTGCATAGTGTATAGTGTGCCATTTGGGACGCAGCTTAAGGCTGTTTCTCAATATGCGTTCTTCAGCGGTCTTGCGTCCTCGTGTTCTCGTGCAACGTCATCATCAGCTGCCTAAGTTCAGTTCCAATACTCAAGACCGCAAGTACGGAGGACGCGTGAAACTTCCCGGATGTGTTCTTGAT